TGTTATGTTCATTATATTCCATATATAAGTGAGATCATGTGGTATGTCTTTTCTGCTTGGCTTGTTTCACTTAGGATAATACTGTCCAGGTCCCTCCATGTTGTCTCAAAGGATAAGAGATCTTTCTTTCTTACAGCTGCATAGTACTCCATTGTGTATATGTACCACAGCTTTTTTATCCATTTGTCTACTGATGGACACTCGGGCTGTTTTCAGGTCTTAACTATTGTAAATAGTGCTGCTATGAACATGGGGGTACGTATATTCTTTCTGATTGGTGTTTCAGGCTTCTTAGGGTATATTCCTAGAAGCGGGATCACCGGGTCAAATGGAAGTTATATTTTTAATTTTTTGAGGTAACACCATATTGTTTTCCATAGTGGCTGCACCAGTCTGCATTCTCACCAGCAGTGTATTAGAGTCCCCTTTTCTCCACACCCTCACCAACACTTGTTGTTTGATGATTTGTTGATGGTGGCCATTCTGACAGGTGTGAGGTGATACCTCATTGTTGTTTTAATTTGCATCTCTCTGATGATTAGTGATGTTGAGCATTTCTTCATATGTCTCTTGGCCATTTGTATGTCCTGTTTGGAGAGGTGTCTATTTAGCTCCTCTGCCCATTTTTTAACTGGGTTCTTTGTTTTCCTTTTGTTGAGTTGTATGAGTACTCTATATATTTTGGAAATTAACCCCTTATCTGAACATCACTGGCAATGATGTTCTCCCATACAGTGGACTGCCTTCCTATTTTGATGGTTGTTTCTTTTGCTGTGCAGAAGTTTTTTAGTTTGATGTAGTCCCATGTGTTCATTTTCTCCTTTGTTTTTGTTGCCTTAGGTGATGTGTCAGTGAAAATTCTGCTGCGTATGATGTCCAAAATTTTGTTGCCTACGTTTTCTTCTAGAATTTTTATGGATTCATGGGTCACATTTAAGTCTTTTATCCATTTTATTTGTGTAAGGTGTAAGTTGATGGTCTAGTTTCATTTTTTTGCATGTAGCTGTCCAATTTTCCCAACGCCATTTATTAAAGAGGCTGTCCTTACTCCACTGTATGCTCTTGCCACCTTTGTCAAATATTAATTGAGCATATTGCCTTGGGTCCATTTCTGGGTTCTCAGTTCTGTTCCACTGGTCTATATGCCTGTTCTTGTACCAGTACCAGGCTGTTTTGATTACAGTAGCTTTGTAGTATAACCTGATATCTGGTATTGTGATCCCACCTACTTTGTCCTTCTTTTTCAAAATTGCTGTGACTATTCGGGGTCTTTTTTGGTTCCATATGAACTTTTGAAGTATTTGTTCTAGTTCTGTGAAATATGTCATTGGTATTTTGATGGGGATTGCATTGGATCTATAGATTGCTTTGGGTAATATGGACATTTTAATGATGTTAATTCTTCCAATCTATGAGCAAGGTATGTGCTTCCACTTTTTTTTTTTTTTTTTTTATCCTCACCCGAGGACATTTTTCCATTTTTTGTTCAGGTAGAGTGGGAGAGAGAGGAACAGAGAGAGAGAGAGAGAAACATCGACGTGAAAGGAACACATCGAGTGGTTGCCACCCGCACAACCGACCAGGGCCGGGGAAAAACTGCAACCGAGGTACGCGCCCTTAGCGGGAACCAAACCCAGGTCTCTCAGGACTGCAGGCCGACGCTCTAACCGCTGAGCCAAACCGGCCAGGGCCTTCCACTTTTTTATATCTTCCTCTATTTCTTTTTTCAATGTACTGTAGTTTTCTGCAAATAGGTTCTTTACTTCTTTGGTTAAGTTTATTCCTAGGTATCTTAATTTTTTTGCCGCAATGGTAAATGAAATTGTTTTTTCAGTTTCTCTTTCTGTAAGTTCATCATTGGTGTATAAGAATGCCATCGATTTCTTGACATTAATTTTGTATCCTGCTACTTTGCCTAATTCATTTATTAAGTCGAGTAGATTTTTGATGGAGTCTTTAAGGTTTTCTATGTATAATATCATGTAATCTGCAAATAATGACAGTTTTACTTCCTCCCTTCCAATTTGGATCCCTTTTATTTTTTCTTCATGTCTGATTGCTGTGGCTAAGACTTCCAGTACTATGTTAAATAAGAGTGGCAAAAATGGACATCCTGTCTTGTTTCTGTTCTTAATGGAAATGTTTTTAGTTTCTGCCCATTGAGTATGATATATGGCCTTTATTATGTCGAGATATCCCTCTATTCCCACACTGGTGAGCGTTTTTATCAGAAATGGGTTCTAGATTTTGTCGAATGCTTTTCCAGCGTCTATTGATATGATCATGTGGTTTTTATTCTTCATTTTATTTATGTGGTGTATCACGTTTATTGATTTGTGAATATTATACCAGTCTTGCATCCCTGGGATGAAACCCACTTGGTCATGGTGAATAATTTTTTTTTTCTTTTTTTATCCTCACCCAAGGACATTTTTCCATTCTTTTGTTCAGATAGAGTGGGAGGGAGAGAGAGGAAGAGAGAGAGAGAGAGAGAGAGAGAGAGAGAGAGAGAGAGAAACATCGACGTGAAAGGGACACATCGAGTGGCTGCCACCCACTTGACCAACCAGGGCTGGGGACAAACTGCAACTGAGGTATGTGCCCTTAGCGGGAACCAAACCCGGGTCTCTCTGGACCGAAGACCAACTCTCTAACCGCTGAGCCAAACTGGCCAGGGCTAATTTTTTTGATGCATTGCTGGATCCGATTTTCTAGTTTTGTTCAGGAGTTCGGCGTCTATGTTCATCAGGGATATTGGCCTGTAGTTTTCTTTCTTTGTAGTGTCTTTTTCTGGTTTTGGAATTAGAATTATGCTGGCCTCATAAAACAAGTTTGGAAGTCTTCCTTCTTCTTGAATTTTTTGAAATAGTTTGAGGAGAATGGGTATTAGTTCTTCTTTGAATGTTCAGTAAAACTCCCCCGTGAAACCATCTGGGCTGGGGCTTGTTTGCTGGGAGAGTCTTGATTACCTCTTCAGTTTCCTTAGTTGTTATTGGTCTGTTCAAGTTTTCTATCTCTTCCCGGTCCAGGTTTGGGAGACCATGCATGTGTTTCTAGAATTTTGTCCATTTCACTTAGATTGTCGAATTTGTTGCCATATAATTGTTCATAGTAGCTGTTAATGATCTTTTGTATTTCTGTGGTGTCAGTTGTTACTTCTCCTTCCATTTTTGATTTTGTGTATTTGGGTTCTCTCTCTGTTTCTTGGTGGGTCTAGCTAAGGGTCCATCAATCTTGTTTATCTTTTCAAAAAACCAGCTCTTTGTTTCATTGATCCTTTGAATTGTTTTTTTTTTTTTTTGTCTCTATGTCATTTATTTGTGCTCTGATCTTTACTAGTTCCTTCAGGCTAGGGCTTCTTAAAATGTAGTATGGATCACCTGGATTGTAATCATATGGGTAATACTAAGACTGCAAGTTCCTGGGCCTGAATCCACACCTACTGAATCAGAATCTCTGTAGCTGAGGGCCAGGAAACAGAACTTTTATACAAATCCTCCAAGTTTATTTTTGTACATGAAAACTCAAATTTGTGAACCATTGCCCTATAGTCATCTCCCTTATTCTCACCATTTTAATGATCAGTGCTTATAATGAAAAATTGCATTTCCAAATCTGTCCTCTCTCCTGAACTCTAGACTCTTATAGGAACTGTCTCTAGGCACCTCCACCTAAGTGCATAGGCATAAACTCAACATGCACAAAAGATCTTCCCAAATCTACTTTTCCTGCTTTGTTCCCTGTTTGCATCAACAGTACCATCTTTCACCCTGAAGCCCAGGTCAGAAACCTGGGATCATTCTCAATTCTTCTCTTTCTTTTATTCTACTTTGTAAATACATTATGCCTGGATCTCATCCACTCTGTCCCCAGCCACTGCCCCTTGTTCTGGCTCTCACCTTCACATCTCCAAGACTATAATAGTGGACTTCGAACTGCAGGAACTTACCTTCAGAAAGGTAATTTGAAACTTACCTTTTCAAATCCACACTCCACAATTATATTTCTAAATGCAAATTTACTATCACTCTTTTTGTTTGTTTTCAAAAGTTGTCTAGGGTCTCTCTCCTCTGTAAAGATTTTCCTGAGTTCTCTAGGCAGAGGTGTGTCAGTCTGTGTTATTATTCAACTTTCCACTAGACTTTGAGCAACTCCTGCTAACTCTTTTATCTCCTAGACCTGCACAAAATAGGCTGCTTGGTAGATGTTCCTGAAAGTGAAATGGGCCCAAATGAATCAAGGATGACTCTATAGTTGGAACCCGAGTACCTAGGAGTACAAAGGTCTCCATCAGAAGGAGTAGGAAAATCAGAAGAAGGAAGAGTTTAAGAGGGAAGGTGTAAGACAATGGTTTCTATAACAAACATAATGAGCTTGGGACTGCGGCGGAATATCCAGGTGAAGAGTTCCAACTGGGAAGTGGAAACACAATGTGAAAATCCCAGGGAAAGATCAAGCAGGACTAGAGTTATAGATTTGCAGGAGTCTGAAGCTATAACGGCTGATGAAATAACCAGGAGATAATATTAATGCAAGAGAAGGCAAATAACATTATTAGGTAAGAAGAAGAAAAGATGACAAGAAAGAGAAAAGTTGCCAAAGAAAAAAGTTAAGTACCAAGAGAATGCAACGTTAGGAAAGCCAAGGGAAAACAGCTTCAAGAAGGAAGGAGATGAAGTTATCTAGGAATGACTAGGAATTACCAGGACTGAAAATTATAGAAAAGACATTTTACATTAAGGAAAAATAAGTTTATGGAGAGGAGCTTTTTACTCTAAGCAGTCAGAGCATTTATATGCAAAGCAACCTAAATGCTGGTCTCCCCTCAGCTATAAAGTTAAAAAATTCAATCGTCAAACTCTCCTGGGGTTTTTTACAAATCCAGCGTCAGAGACTACAGCACACCCATAAGGGAGATCACACACTATGACTACACAGAGCCATTCAAATAGCAGAGAGAAAACAAAGTCAAGATAAATAAAATCTGATCTGGGTTATACCTGAAATAGGACCCAACTGTGCCATTTTCCCTAGCCATGGGAGAGGTTCTGGGCCAGGCTCAAAGAGAGACATCATGAGGTTTGATTTCTTCTTGCTGTCAGCTTGGGAGTAGAGCATTCCATGCCATTCAGGACTAGATGGAAAGAAGATGGAAGATCAGAAGAATATCAAGCCTGTGAGTGTCAAGTTAAATGAGTCTAACCTGTGTTTTCCTCTTGAGCAACATGAGCTTCAGCTTTGAAATCAGGTGCACTGCTTTCACTAAAGCCAAATCCTAAACCTAAAAATGCATACTGCTGTCTCTAATATTACTGTTCCTCTGGGACATGTATTTTTATTCAATTATGTAGATATGGAACTCAAAAGCAATCTTAGAAGACACACACAAAAATTCACAAGGGCAGGAGGTAGCTGCAGGGGTGGTGAGGATTAAGGGATGACCTGTAGGTCTTTTCAGCTGCCTCCCTGGTCGTTCTCAGCAGCACCAGCACAGAGAAGACCTTGTAACAAAGGGCACAAAACCATCACCCAGCTCTGCTCCCCAGGTGATTCTCATATTTAGAGCCAGTACAAGTAGCTTCAGTACCAAGAAATACAGCAAACCAATACCTAAAAAGAAATGCATTCTTCTTTTTAGACCAGCTAATTTTAAGTCAAGCAGAAATGGAGCAATGCTTCCTCTGAGTACTCCTCTTGATCTCCTGTATCAGTCTACCCCAGGTAATGGCCAGAACATGATCAATAACCTCTTCTTTCTAACAACAGGTATTACAGAAAGGGAAGCAGGTAGCTTTGCAAATTTCGAGACTGCAGTGAATGTGGAAGCTAGAAGGGCTTTCCTCGTAGGGAAGAAATACAGCAGAGAGGTTATAAGCCTGGGCTCTGGGGTCATCAGAATGCATAGGTAAGAATCCTGGCTCTTTCATTTACTCGCTGTGTGACCTTGAGCAAGTTCCTCGACTTCTCTAAGCCTCAGTTTCTTATCTGTAGAATGGGGATAATATCAATACCTCCTGTACAGTATTTATGAGGGATTCAATGAGTTTATATAACATGCCTAAAATTCTTGGCATATGGTAAAATGTCCAATCAATTTTATCAGCATTTTTTTCATTTATTTCTGTCTCCTCATTTTATAGCTGAGGAGTCTGTAAATATTGCAGAAGATCCTAATAGCTAGTTAGTAGCATTGCAATAACTGAATCTAGGTTCCTAGATAGAATAGAAGAAATAGGATATAATCTAAAAGCAATACAATTACAAGGCTCATTCTATACTTATGCTAAGGGATAATCTAAAGAGTTTTGATGGTGATAGGAGGTGGGAAGAATATGGCAGGGAGAGAAAGGTGACAAGGATCTTTCTATTTCTTTCAGAAGTCTGGGAAATATTTTACTCTGTAAATTGATTCTCCCTTTTCCCTTTCACTCAACTAAAGGAAAACAAAGTTTCTTACCCTAGCTGAACTATTGCTACCATTCCTTCTACTTTTAGGCTGCCATGGAGCAGGACACAAAAGTTGGGTATTTTGCCTGCAATCTGATTGGCTGAATTTTCATCTTCATTATCATCAGTTATGCCAGTACCCACCTCATCACCTTCTGCAAAAAAAAAAAAAAAAGAGAAAACAGGTCAGACTGAGATTTGCTATAAAAATCCCAAACCCCAGTTATATTACTGGCTGTTTCTAGCCTTGGAAGGAAAGTATATGGAATTATAAATGGAATATATAGCAAGTAAGAAAAACTCATATTCTGGCTTTCCTATGGCCAAATAAAAATCAGTTTTCACATGTTATATTAATTCCATTTATATGAAACACCCAGAAGCGGCAACTCTATAGAGACAGAAAGGACATTAGTGGTTACCTGGGATTGAGGGAGATGAAGGGGTTTTAAAATTCTGATTCTAAAATGGACTGTGGTGATGGTTGAACAACTCTGTAAATATACTAAAATTTACTGAATTATATACTTTAAATGGGTGAAGTGTATGGTATGTGCATTCTATTTTAGTAAAGCTGCTATATAAAAAAATCAACTTTCCACAGTTTCTACTAGGATATTCAGTTAGGTGCTCTGTGGGGGTTTCGGGTACCTTCTAAACAGAACCCCAGATTCAGAGATGTTAACAGTATTCTCAACTGACAGCCTCAGGCAGCACATGGATGGGTGTACCCCCACCCCCCAAAGGTGAACAGTGTTACTCCATAAACTTCTTGATCTGACTCTCCAACTCCAGGTTCTTTTTTTTTTTATATTTTGTTCAGATAGAGTGGTAGGGAGAGGGAGAGAGAGAAAAACATTGATGTGAAAGGGACACATCGAGTGGCTGCTACCCACACTACCCAACCAGGGCCGGGGACAAACTGCAACTGAGGCACATGCCCTTAGCGGAAACCGAACCCGGGTCTCTCCAGACCACAGGTCAATGCTCTAACCGCTGAGCCAAACCGGCCAGGGCTCCAACTCCAGGTTCTTTATACACTCTGCTGACAAATGAATCTTCCTACGATTGACTTCCCTCTGGAACTATCTACCTGCTCAATTTTATTCAAAGACTTTCTAATTCAATAGGAAGAATTATCCCAGTTAGCTTGACATTCAACAGCCCTTAAAATATGGCCCCATTTAGCCTTCCCACACTTTTCTTTCCACTGTTCCCTACACAAACTCTTCACTTTGCCCGCTTTCTCTCTTGGCAATTTATATGGGCAGGCAGAATCTCACCACCTCTGCCATCCCCAGACCTTAGAAATAAGGAAAGCCTGGTTATCAATATTAATATCAGGAACAATAAGGTAAATTTTAAACAGTAATTGCAATAAGCCATCTGTGGGCACATATCAACACTGTGTCTGTGAATGTGTGATTGAGGGTTATGGAATACCAATTCCACCAGTGAGATAATCGGCATAAATGGAATGTGATTATAACTCAGTGAGTTGAAACCCCATTGACTATATACACTTCTTGGAGAAAGTTGGTGAATATAAAGTTGATGGTCATACTAGAACAGAGAAAAGAGAAGTTTAAAGTGCTAGAGACTAACATTCTCCAGAGAGAGGCTGAATTTGGGGACTTGGCTTTATAGTTCCCAGAGAACTTTATCCTGCAGTAATGAAGCCTCACAGGGGGCTGGATTCTTCCATTTATTCAACAGTATTTACTGAGCATTTACTACGTGCTAGGCACTGGTAGAGAACAGATGTAGATTCTCCTCTGATGAAGCTGTATTTGACTCCACATTTATCAGTCACACTCTGAGAATCACTTTGGCTTCCTCACCATGCTCCTACCAGGAAAGGCAGAGCCCTGGATTAGGGACAAAGCATTATCATCTCTAAAGAGGACTTCCACTGTAAATTAACAAATCAATATGTACACAATAAATATGTGTCGATATGCTTTCCACAGTGAAAAGCAGCAGAATTCGTTTTCTAGTATATTAGGCAACATTCCATTAACAAAAATATCCAATCCAGCCTGGCCAGTGTGGCTCAGTGGATTGAGTATCCTCCCGTGGACTGAGAGGTCGCCTGGTTCAATTCCCAGTCAGGGCACATGCCCAGATTTCAGGCTCGATCGCCAGTAGGGGCATGCAGGAAGCAGCTGATCACTGTTTCTCATAGTGGTGTTTCTATCTCTCTCTCCCTTACTCTCTTTCTAAAAAAATCAATAAATTCATATTTTAAAAAAATCCAGTGCGCCCTGGCTGGTTTGGCTCAGCGGTTAGAGCGTCGGCCTGTGGATCAGAGAGTTCTGGGTTCGGTTTCTGCTAAGGGCACATGCCTCAGTTGCAGTTTGTCCCCGACTGCGATTGGGGTCGTGTGGGTGGCAGCCAGTCAATGTATGTTTCTCACATTGATGTTTCTCTCTCTCTCTTCGCCCCTCTCTCCCTCCCACTCTATCTGAAAAAATAAAAATAACAATAAAAAAATCCAATGCAATCCAATAACTATTCCTTTCCCTCAAATCCTGCAAAATGGGCTACCCTATTATCTAACATTTAATAATAAGATACTTCATATGTATCATTGAATAGGAGAACTCACCTCTGTTAAGTGCTATAGGTAGGACCAGATGTCTGGACAGAACTGGAGGACTGGAAATATCAGCTATATCAATAAACCCCACTATTTCCAAATCTGAAAAGAGAGAATCAACATAGAATTAATTAGTTCTATAAGAAAGTACACTATTTTCTATGTATGAGATTTCATAAACACAATGTTTAATTTAGATAAGGAATTCAAGTATGATGACTAGGAAGGTAAGAAGTCTTTCTGGATAACTAATAAATTTCCATTTAAGTAGCTCAGAAAATAACTGTCTTTATTTAATGAATTTAAGTTACATGAAAATTCAGCTAAACTTTATTTTTATGAGCCTAGGTCCAATGCAAAAGCTCAAAGGTCAAACCCCTCTATATCATCAGGGATGTTCAAGCCAGCAGTGGCCTCACAGTCAAACACTTCCATAACTCCAAGCAACTATCCTTGGAGGGTAAAGCTATTCTGAGAAAGTAATACATTCTCTGCAAAACCAAGCCAGCAGTCTAAATATGACAATGATTTCTTTGTTTTATAGAGGCCTATTAAAGACCAAAAGTATTTGTTGGAAACCTAAAATAAGTAAAAATAAAAGTTGTAAACTACGTGGCCGTGTGGCCCAGTGGTCGAGCATCGACCTGTGCACCAAGAGGTTGCCAGTTCAATTCCTGGTCAGGGCACATGCCCAAGTTTTGGGCCCAATCCCCAGTGGGGAACATGCAGGAGGCAGCCAATCGATGTTCTCTCTCATCGATGATTCTCTCTCTCCTCTTTTCCTCTCTCTCTAAAAATCAATAAAGAAAAAAAGAAAAAGCTGCAAACCAAACGTTTTAAAAGTTTTTTTTATGATCATATAAATAGCATAAAAGCTTAGAAAACACTAAAAATTGTAAAGAAGAAATATAAAATCACTCATTTATCATCAAAGGAAACTTCTATTAATATTTTATTGAATTGCTTTTCAGTCTTCTAGGCCTGATATTTTAAACTCATATTTTAAAAATTTTAAAAATCAGGCTGGTGGTAAGCACACTACTTCTAAGACATCAGGAAATCTACTTCTCTGGAGATTTGCCTTCATTACCTTCTTTAGATGAATAACAAAAATTATTTTTTTCTTTCGTTATTTTTAGAGAGAGAGGAAGGGAGAGAAACATCAATGTGAGAAAGAATATTGATTGGCTGCCTCCTGCATGTCCCCCACTGGGAATATGGCCCACAACCTGAGCATGTGCCCTGACCGGGAATTGAACCAGCCACCTCCTGGGGCATGGGTCGATGCTCAACCACTGAGCCACACTGGCTGGGCAGCTGAATAACAAATCAATCAGCAATAAGCCACTATATATTTTTTTGAGTAGAAAATGGTTTAAATATAAGCTATAACAAAGATTGCAGACTAAAAGTTTATATAGGAAAGAAAAGACCTATTCAAAGTTATTCATCAAAAAAGGATGGGAGGGGCCCTTGGCCGGTTTGGCTCAGCAGTTAGAGTGTCAGCCTGCGGTCCAGAGAGACCCGGGTTCGGTTCCCACTAAGGGCGCGTATCTTGGTTGCAGTTTGTCCCCGGCCCTGGTTGGTCGTGTGGGTGGCAGCCACTCGATGTGTCCCTTTCACGTTGATGTTTCTCTCTCTCTCTCTTCCTTTCTCTCCCTCCCACTCTATCTGAACAAAAAATGGAAAAATGTCCTCGGGTGAGGATAAAAAAAAAAGATGGGAAGGAATCTAATTGGTTTGAAGGCAAAAAAAAATTTGACGTAGCTTAATACACTGCTGTCTAGTCACAATGAGAGATGGATGTGCTACTTCCAGACAGCCAGGAGCTAAAGGCACAAAAATAAAAAGCCTGTGCTTAGCCCTTAGTTCTAAAACTCCTTAAAACTGTACCCCCAAAAATGAAATGTACATTTACTGTGCACTTAATTTTAATCATCTGTTGACTGAACAATTACCTAGTCAACATCTACGAAGCATCTATGCTAGGCACTGACAGTGCAATGGTGACTGACACAGTGATGGTTCAATGTGTACCCACAACTCAAGAAGTCCACCTCCAACTGGAGACAGCTCTCCTTTCCACTATTCCTTGTTACTTTTGACTTTTTTGCTTTGCCAGTCTGAGCTAAGCACAGCACCAGCAACATGAACCAGATAGAAGCAGTGGAACATCACTTTCTTTTAGTCACAATATAAGCAGCAGGGCTAGAGAGGTCAGCATATCAGAGCAGAGACTTTAGAGACCATCACTCACCTAGAGAGATTCCACTCACCTAGCCTATAAGGACTAGAGGAAGTGACTTGTCCAGGGTCATGCAAGAGTCACTCAGGCAAGTCTAGAAGTTACCCCTTCATATCTCACCTCAATTATCATGCTAATCAATCTTAGTATCTATTAAGAATTACCTCAGTGATTTCCATGCTAGTGAATCTAGCATGATTGCCTACTCTAGTAATTTGTGGTTATAATATCTAGGATTGGAGATTAATTCATGACCTCACCGTCACCATGAAGAACTACTAATCTGCCACCCCTTAGGCAAAGCACATTCGAAGTGTTTTCAGTGGTTCTCAACCTTCCTAATGCTGCCACCGTTTAATACCGTTCTTCATGATGTGGTAACCCCCAACCATAAAATTATTTTCGTTGCTACTTCATAACTGTAATTTTGCTACTGTTACGTCTTAGAAAGGGTCGTTGGACCCCCGAAGGGGTCACGGCCCACAGGTTGAGAACCGCACTGATGATGACAGCGCTCAGCTATCAGAATTTACATTTCTTTTCAATTCTCCCGGATAGAAAGGAATAGAAGTCTGAAGTTAGAAAAAAGTCAGGATAACAGAAGAACTAAGAAGGAAGTTTTAAAAAGAGTTACCTGTGTTAATGACTTTGGGGATAGGATCGATTTCCTCATCTACAACAAAAGGTTCTGGCCTGGGGAAGACTTGAACATCAGCAGTCAGGTGGCCACACTTGAGAACAGCATGGAAAGGGGTATATGCCAGATCTATCAGTTTTCTAGAATATGATGATAAATTGTTATAGAATACTATGATACATATAATTTGTTTCAAGATGCTAAGTTGTTTTCCCTTTGAGTTGACTCCAAAAGGATGTGACCATTTAAAAATAAACAAAATCTGACATTTTTGGTGAGGCCAGTTCAATTCTGAAAAGCCCAAAAGCAAGTTAACCTTTGAAATTGCTGAACTGTAAGGAAGTCAATATCTACAGGCATATAGATTTAGTCATGCTTAATTTAAAAGGGAATTAACTTTTTAAAATCACTACTACTGCTCTGGCCAGTTTGGCTTAGCGGTTAGAGCACTGGCCCGATTCCGGTCAAGGGCACACACCTTGGTTGCAGTTGGTTTCCAGCCCTGGATGGGGTCGTGCAGGAGGCAACCAGTCAATTATCCCTCTCACATTAATGTTTCTCTCTCTTTCTCCCTCTTCCTCCCTCCCACTCTATCTGAAGATAAATGGAAAAATATCCTTGAGTGAGGATTAAAAAAATCACGATAATAAATAAATAAATAAATAAAATCACTACTACTAAGCATTTTATCTGAAAAATATGAAACTTGGGGACAATGAAATGACACAACTGGAAATAGTAAAATAGATATAATTGCTGGACATCAAATTTTAATAAACTGTGAGAAGGCAAAAAGGCTCTAAGTACATACTCACCCAAACATAGACTGTACATTTTTCAAGCATAGGGGGCCATCAATAGTAAAAATCTGCCCTTCACCATTGTTTAAATCTATGAGACGTTCAAGGCAATCCAAGGAGTCAGTGCTCTGAAGCTACAAAACAAAACTCATTTAAGGTGGCAAAAAAAGGAGATTATTATCAGCATATCAAGGTCACACCCATCACAATAACACAGGCAATAAATAGAATGAAGATGATTTTGAGGCAGGATAGTAAGAAGCTAGGAAGATTCTTTAACAAGTGGAATAGAGAAACTGAGACAATTAAACAAGGCCAAACAATCTGAGCAATTTACAGCCAGCTAATGAGTTATAAGATTTTATCTTCCCCAATCAAAGGCACTAAGGAGCAAATGGTTTACATATTCCAGACAGTCCTGTGTCAGAAGGGCCTTGGTGCCAGTCCCTCTTCAATGATGTTCTTGATGACGTTCTTTAAAATGAAACCAGAAAATAACCCTTGACCCCTCTTTTTTTTTAATCCTCACCAGAGGGCATTTTTGCATTTATCTTCAGATAGAGTGGGAGGGAGGGGGAGAGAGAGAAACCTTGATGTGAAAGAGACACTGGACTGGTTGCCACCCACACGACCCCAACTGGGGCGGGGGACAAACTGCAACTGAGGTACGTGCCCTTAGCGGGAACTGAACCCAGATCTCTTTGGTCGCGGGCCAACGCTCTAACTGCTGAGCCAAACTGACCAGGGCCCTTGACCCCTCTTTACACATATTTTGATGAATCAACATACTGAAGGACACACCTGAAAAGCTAATGAATATTCTGTTAAGACCCGCCCCTGAGACCTCCCCTAGGATTCCAGCAGGCCAAAGAGAGAGAAAAAGCCTCAAGACAAAGCCACAGCGCACTCTTGAAAGAGCATGCCCATACCTTGTACATCTGCTGTTTTTCTCCTAAATTCTAAGGGACTTTATGAGACTTGCAACCAGGGGAGCAATGGGCAGCAGCAACTCGACCCAGGCTAACCCCCTGAACCTGTCTCCAAGGCCCCCTTTTCTTGGACTTTTCCTCTCCTGTTGCTTTTCCTATCCTAAGCCCTCCCTTTGTTTTACAGTCCCCAGCTTTAATAAACATATCTCAAAAGCCACTTGGATTCATGTTGTGAAATCTTTCCTACACAAAATCAAGAACCCACACACTACCAGTGGGCCCTAGGCAGACCCATCCTGGGCCCAGACCCTGTCCAGTAACAATTTAACAATGTGAGAAGGAAAATAACGATAACAATTTTGATTCAAAGTTACCAAAGAGGAAATGTCATATAAAATGATACCAGTAGAGCTATTTCATTCAGATGTAGTTTTGCAAAGATTCTCAGAGGTGACCACAGTTGGTATTGACACAGTATTCTTTCCTCCAGTGTTTCTAACATCTTTTGGTAAGTACCATTATTATCTACATTTTACAGATAAGAAACTGAGATGAAGATAGGTTAAATAACTTTCCTGAGTAACTGGGAAAACCAGGAAGTAGAGTTTAATAAAACATGCATCAGAGTAATGTTACTTTACAAAATAAATAAATAAAAAAAATCAAAGCCCATTTCTATCAGCACTTCTGGTGGAATGGACTTAAGAATTCCTAAATGAGGAGTGGAATTCCTGCTGCTGAACTTTGGGGGCCTGCTGGGAACAGGACTTCTATAAGGACAAATATGTCTGGAAGGCTGTGGTCCAAGGCCATTTTTGCCGGTTATAAACGGGGTCTCCGGAACCAGAGGGAGCACACGGCTCTTCTTAAAATTGAAGGTGTTTATGCTCGAGATGAAACTGAATTCTATCTGGGCAAGAGATGTGCTTATGTGTACAAAGCAAAGAACAACACAGTGACTCCTGGTGGCAAACCAAACAAAACCAGAGTAATCTGGGGAAAGGTAACTCGTGCTCATGGAAATAGTGGCATGGTTCGTGCTAAATTCCGAAGCAACCTTCCTGCTAAGGCCATTGGACACAGAATTCGTGTAATGCTGTACCCCTCAAGGATCTAAATGTATTGATAAGTAAATAAAATGGATTTGCTCTCTTGTGTTTTTGTTAAAAAAAAAAAAGAATTCCTAAATGAGGGAAATAACCAACACCAAAAAAAAACAACAAAAAAAAAACCAACATTTCAGCATTGGAAGAGTCTTGGTGGGCAGTAGGATGGAAAACAATTCTAGCACAGACGGTGTGGCTCAGTGGCTGAGCATCAACCCATGTACCAAGAGGTCGCTGGTTCGATTCCCGGTCAGAACATATGCCCAGGTTGTGGGCCCGATCCCCAGTGGGAGGCCTGCAGGAGGGGGCCAGTCGATGTTCTCTCTCATTGATGTTTCTATCTCTCTCTAAAAATCAATAAAGAAAAAGAAAAAAACAAAACTCTAGCTGTTTCCAAAGATGGGGTAACACTTAGAATTTTCTTTTTTAAAAATCAATAAAGAAAAAGAAAAAAGAAAAGAATACAACTATGTTTCCCAAGATAGGGCAACACTTGGAACTTTCCTTTTTAAAAACATTTTTTTCTTTATTGATTTGAGAGAGAGAGGAAGGGAAAGAGAGATAGAAACATTGATGAGAAGAACATCGACTGGCTGCCTCCTGCATACCTCCAATGGGGATTGAGTCCACAACCTGGGCATGTACCCTGACTGGGAATCGAACTGGCGACCGCTGGTGCATGGGTCAACACTCACCAGTGAGCCATACCAGCTGGGCAACACTTTGAACTTTTAAAGAGCTTTTGAGCTCTAGGGTCTTTTCAAAGATAATTAGTGACCAGCCTCAGCTGAAACCAATCGAGTTCAATGTTATAGTATTTGCAATATGATACTAATGGAGTATACATACTAAAAAATAAACTAAGTCCTAAAATGTATCTAATCAAACTAAAAATAACTTAGTAAAAAGTATTACCTCCTCCAAATTTGCCATGCACATGATGTATAACTTAGATGGGAAAGGAAAAGGCAGTGGGAACCTGTTGCTGTCACTTCGTTGACTGTGAGTAGCTAGGGAATGCCGCAGTGACCCTCTACCAATGCCAAGACAGCCATCTGTCACCAGAACAACCTGTTTGCAAAAAGCGAGAGAAGGTTTGTATATAAAATAACATACTCATTTAAAGCAGCCTCATTTTGTAAAGATACAAGCAACAATGTGAATAAATTTCAAAAACATTCTGTCAAGTGAAAGATGACAAGAGACAGTATATGATTCCATTTATATGAAGATCTGGAACAGGTAAAATGAAGCAAAGTTAAACTAAGCAGGGGTTGTGGGCATAGGGGGATAATGACTAGAAAGGGGCATAAGGAAACTCTGTGGGTTAATGGAAATGTTTTATGTCCTTGTTTTTTTATCCTCACCTGAGGACATTTTTGCATTTTATCTTCAGATAGAGCAGGAGGGAGAGAGGGAGGAAGAGAGAGAGAAACATCGACGTGAGAGAGACACATCGACTGGCTGCCACCCACATGACCCCAACCAAGGCCAGGGACAAACTGCAACCGAGGTATGTGCCCTTAGCGGAAACCAAACCCAGGACTCTCTGGTCCGCAGGCCGACGCTCTAACTGCTGAGCCAAACCGGCCAGGGCTATATGTCTTTTTTTAAAAATATTTTTTAATTGATTTTTTGGGGAGAGAGATAGAAACATCCATGTGAGAGAGAAACATCGATTGGCTGCCTCCTGCATGCCCCCCACTTGGGGATTGAGCCCAAAACCTTGGCATGTGCCCCGAAGGGGAATCAAACTGGGACCTCTTAGTCCATGGGATGACGCTCAATCCACTGAGCCACGCTGGCCAGGCAAAATGTTATGTCTTAACTGGAGCAGTGATTTCATAGGTATATGCATTTGTCAACACTCAGTGAATTGTGTACTTAAGATCTATGCATTTTACTGTATTTTATCTCATTAAACTTAAAAAAAGCACCTATCTATGAACACTTAAAAAGCAATCATAACTAATTCTTAGTTAACTGTATTAAAACTAGAATCCTATTGCTTAGATAAGGAGGTGGCGGCACTTAAGGCCTCGATGTTATAAATGGCATGAGAGCCTATTTTATGTGTCCCTAGAGAGTACCAGCACAGAAGTCTGAACCTTGACACTTTGTTTTCAAAGGTGACATACTCTACCCCTGGTCAACTAGAATAACAACTGCTTTAAAAATATATTTTTAAAAGACAATTAACCACATGCATAAAAGACCTTTAAAATGCATTCTTTTGCCCTGGCCAGTTTGGCTCAGCAGTTAGAGCATCAATCTGCGGACCAATGAGTCATGGGTTCAATTCTGGCCAAGGACACATATCTCGGTTGCAATTTGTCCCCGGCCCTAGTTGGGCTTGTGCAGGAGGCACCCATTCGATGTGTCCCTTTCACGTTGATGTTTCTCTCTCTCTCTCTCTTCCTCTCTCTCCCTTCCACTCTATCTGAACAAAAATGGACAAATGTCCTTGGATGAGGATTAAATAAATAAATAAATAAAATAAAAAATAAAATGCATTCTTAATCTGTAATTTGAAAAAGCCTTCAAAATATCCTAACAGACCACAATTACAAATCATTATCCTTTTCTTCATTGCTTCAAAGCAATCCTATGGGGGGGCAGACTTTTCTAAGTATTTCAGGGGAGGGTTATCTTAGCTCTCCCTAGCCTATTGTAGTAACTTGATAATAACAGGCTAGTAAGAAAGTAATAGGTGGTTACACCATGTGAAGTACCAAGATTGGCACTTACTTCTGACAAGCACGCTTAATAGAGGTCCCCTGGAGCAATGTTATCTTTTGGGAAGATAGTCAGTTGACTAAAAGGTAATTCCCTCTTCTATAATTGTTATATAATGATTTACTTCTGCCACTAGCTTCTTCAGATACTGTATGATAATGACATATTTCATATAATGTCAAAATGAGGCAGATTTTGCTCAAATAATAAACACAGTCCAGATGTCTCAAAGGTTGTTTAAAAAAAATTCCACATTAAAACAAACCTGTTTGACAATAATTAATTATTTTAATCACTGATAACTTCCACCTCTAGTCTAGTGTTTTGGACTGTTCACCCCAAAACTCATCAAGCAAGTCTAAGTGGATTTAGGCCAAACCCCTTGCCCTCAGGGTACAATACATCTTAAATTCAGATTCTTCCTTTCTGCAAAGGAAGAAAAATCATTAAAAGGCAGAAGTATTTTTGGTACACACATTCTTTGAGTTTCTTCTCTAAAACTACTGAAGACTATGATGATGGAGGACAATCTGACTTTGGGTGGTGGGCACACAATGCAATATAGAGATAAGGTATCATAGAACTGTACATTTGAAACCTATATCATTTTAATAACCAATGTCACCCCAATAAATTTAATTTTTAAAAAAATTACTGAAGAAGTAGCAAATGAAATTATGCTACTTGCTACCTTCCAGTTCAGAAGATATTGAAAAGAAAACTTCATTTATTTAGTATATTGTTAGGAAATGAGATATTCTGCATGCATGGATTTACCAAATAAATAATGTTTATGAAGATGCCAAATATTTTTATTTCCGAAAAGAAATTAATTAAAAAGCACCCTAGCCGGTTTGGCAGTTAGAGCATTGGCCTGCGGACCAGAGAGTCCCAGGTTTGGTTCCCGCTAAGGGCACGTACCTCGGTTGGGGTCGTGTGGATGGCAACCATTCAATGTGTCTCTCTCGCATCCATGTTTCTCTCTCTCTCTTCCCCTCCCGCTCTATCTGAAGATAAAGGCAAGAAAAATGTTCTTGGGTAAGGATAAATAAAAAAAATAAAAAAATAGAGCATTTACTGGCTTTTTTAACAAGCATCCACTAAAGTGATTTAACCTTTTAGTAGTATCTCACGGTCTTCATTAACCCTCGAGTTCATACTCTATAAATAAACAGGTGGTTTTTTAGTAAGAAAAAAACATTTTTAAAAAGTTGAGTTTATTTATTTTTAAACTTATCTTTATTGTTGTTATTTTTTCCCCCCTTGACCTCCTCCTCCCCAATCCCGCCCCCCTCCTGCTTTCCCCACACTATGGTCTGCTTCCATTGGTTATGCATATATGCATGTAAGTTCTTTGGTTTCTCTCTTCCCGCCCCACCTCCCCCCTTCCCTTTGAGGTTCATCAGTCTAACAACCAATTTGTACTTCCTAATCCCTTCATCTTTTTCACCCAACTCCCCTCCCATCTGGCAACCAACAAAAAGTTCTCTGTATCTATGAGTCTGTTTCTGTTTTGCTTGCTCATTTTGTTTGTAGATTCAATTGTGGGTAGATATGTATTAATTGCCATTTTATGTACATATTTTTTTTTATCTTCTTCTTCAAGAAGACCCTTCAACATTTCATATACTAGTTTTGGTGGTGATACTAGCTTTTTCTTGTCTGGGAAACTTTTGATATGCCCATCAATTCTAAATGATAGCTTTGCAGGTAGAGTAATCTTGGTTTTAGGTCCTTTTCATCACTTTAAATATTTCTTGCCACTCCATCCTGGCCTGCAAAATTTCTTTTAAGAGATCAGCTGATAGGCTTATGGGAGCTCTGTTGTAGGTAACTAACTGCTTTTCTCTTGGTGCTTTTAAGATTCTCTCTTTGTCTTTAACCATTTGCATTTTGATGCTGATGTGTCTTGGTGTGGACCTCTTTGGATTCATCTTGTTTGGGACTCTCTGTGCTTCCTGGACTTGTATGTCTGTTTCCTTCACCAAGTTAGGGAAGTTTTCTGTCATTATTTTTTCAGATAGGTTTTCAATTTCTTGCCTCTCTTCTCCGTCTGGCACCCCCATGATGTGAATGTTAGTACGATTGAAGTTGTCTCACAGGCTCCTTATACTACCCTCATTTTTTTGGATTATTTTTTCTTTTTGGTGTTCTGATTGGGTGTTTTTTTTGCTTCCTTATATTCCAAATTGATGGTTTGCTTCTTGGCTTCACCTACTCTACTATTAATTCCTTATAAATTATTATTTATTTCAGTTAGTACCTCCTTCATTTCTAACTGGTCATTTATGATGAACTTAAGGTCCTCACTATGTTCATTGAGTGTCCTTATAAGCAGTGTTTTGAACTCTGCATCTGTTAGATTGCTTACCTCCATTTTGTTTAGTTCTTTTCCTGGAATTTTGTTCTGTTTTTTCAACTGGGACATGTTTCTTTTTTTGTTTGTTTTCTTTTCTCCTTTTTTTCCCTATTTTTTGTTCAGGAAGAGTGGGAGGGAGAGAGAGTGAGAGAGAGTGAGAGAGAGAGAGAGAGAGAGAGAGAGAGAGAGAGAGAGAGAGAGAGAAACATCGATGTGAAAGGGACACATCGAGTGGCTGCCACCCACACGACCAACCAGGGCCGGGGACAAACTGCAACTGAGGTACATGCCCTTAGCGGGAACCGAACCCGGGTCTCAGGCTGATGCTCTAACCGCTGAGCCAAACCGGCCAAGGCGGGACATGTTTCTTTGTCTCCTCATTTTGGCTGCCTCCCTGTGTTTGTTTCTATGTATTAGGTAGAGTACATATGTCTCCTAGGCTTCCTAGGGTGGCCTATTGTAGTAGGTGTCCTGTAGGGTTCAGTGGCACAGCCTCCCTGGTCTCCCAATTAGGCCCTCGAGGTGCAACCCTCGTGTGGACTTTATATCCTTCTGTTGTAATTGAGTCATGATTGCTGTTGGCACATCAATGGGAGGGTTTTACTCAGGCTGATGAGGTGCAAGGACTGGCTGTGCCCACTGACCATTGACCTCTGACTACCTTGGATGATCAGCTGTGCAGGGGCCACCCCACAGAGCAAGACTTATTTCAGCAGGGCTCTAGTACCCCGAGTCCATTCCTTGAATCCGTCACTTGTGAAAGTGGTTGGGTGGTGGTGCTTCGACGTGGTCTGAAACTGTCCATTGGGTGTGCTGGCTCTGGGGCAAGGGCAGCCACTGCCTGTGTTCTATCAGGGCCACCAGACACAAGGTACAAAGTGATGTGCCTATGGCTGCTTCTTGTGCTGGGCTTGGAGCTGCCCTGACGAAGCCAAGTTGAGAACTAAGGCTGGCTGCTTCTACTGCCAGGTCTGGGGCCACTGAAAGAGAGGTATGGGACTCGCTGTGGCCAGATGCTGCTTGTTTGAAAAAATTTAGGAAAATTCGAACCATGAGCCCAGATGGGCCATTTTATGGTAAAGCCACTGGAAACAGCTTCGGTGGGCCTGAAAGTTGGTTGTGGCTGGGCCTCAGGAAACCACCAGGGCAGGGCAAACAGTGTGAGCCAGGTTGCTGGAGTCCCAGATATGGCAGCTGTCTGCCAGCCCTATGGCGGAAGGGCTCACCAGAGGAACAAGGCCTCTACCAGCACGTCTGTCCAGGACAAAGCTGCCTCTCCAGTCCTCGCCCCGATGCCAAACAACTCAGTTCTTCCCCATATGTCTCTGGTGCCTTTCAAGCTGCCTCCGTTCTGCACTGGAGCTCAGAGGAAGCGGGTCTGAGAAAGTCTATGCACCGGCCCTTTGAGAGGAGCTGCCTGGGGGCTCCCGCAGCCTCAGCCTCCCTCAGCCTCAGTTCCTGCTGCATTTTACAGCCAGAAGTGATGGGGACTTCTCTTCCTGCACTGGAACCCTGAGCTGGGCATCTGGTGTGGGATGGGGACCTCTCATTTCTCAGGGAGGACCTTCATAGTCGAGGTGTCCCTCCTGATTATTATCCGCTACCTGTGGGTTTGGGACCAGCCTTTCTGCCCCTCCTACCAGTCTCGGTGTGGCTGCTTCTTTAATTTCGTAGTTGTAGGACTTCCATTCAGCTTGATTTCAGGTGGTTCTAAAGGATGTTTGTTCTGTAGTTTAGTTGTAATTTTGTTGTGGTTGTGGGTGGAGGCGATATGGCGTTTACCTATGCTGCCATCTTGACTAAAAGTCTCAAAGTTGGGTTTATTGAGATATAATTTACATGCAATAAAATTCACCCTTTTTTCTATACAGTTTTGAAAACTGCTTTTAGTGATATAACCACTTCTGCAATTAAGATAAAGACCAGTTCCATCATTTCCCATATTCCTTCGTCCTTCATTTGAGTCAACCTTACCCTTTCCTTACCCTCAAGCATAACTACCAGTGATGCCACTGACACTACTGAGGAATTCTGTGTTTGACCCTAAATTAAAAATCATACACTATGGCCCACTGCCTGTTTTTGTAAATCAAGTTTTACTGGAACACAGCCATGCTCATTCATTTATTATCTATGGTGGCTTTCATGCTATGACAGCAAAGTTGAAGGGTTGCCATAGACACCTGCAAAACCTAATACAGAAAAAGTTTGTTGACTCCTGTTGTAGACTATAGTATTATTTTTCTTTCAGCAATTTTCTTCTTAAAATATGCTATCACTTCTTCAAGCACATGTGTATATCAAACTTCCAATTCTTTTTCAGCTACTACTCTGCTCTAATTTGATGCTAATGTGGACTTATTATGGACTCTAAGTGAAGGGCAACTGACTTTATGACATTCATACTCCTCACTTTTTAGATAACTTAGTTGAAATGGTTAAAAGTTGCTGAATAGCCCGACGGGTGTGGCTCAGTGGTTGAGCATCGACCCATGCACCCAGAGGTCGCCGTTTGATTTCCAGTCAGGGCACATGCCCAGGTTGTGGGCCCAATCCCCAGTGAGGGGCATGCAGGAGGCGGCCAATCGATGTTCACTCTCATCGACGTTTCTCTCTCTCTCTCCCTCTCCCTTCCTCTCTAAAATCAATAAAGAAAAAATATTTTTTTAAAAAGTTGCTGAATAAATGCTACCTTGAAATAACAAAGATAGCCTACATAGTACTAATGTTTACAATTCTATCACTCAAAAAATTAAAATCATCCCATCTAAGGGGTATCCTAAAATTATACTGAGAATGCTTTGTATTTTATACAAATAATACTAGTTTTCAAGAAGTCAATTTACTAGGAGGATGCTTTCCTTAAGGCATAATCGTGCTGATTCCTGAGCATATGAGTGCTGATTTAGTGCCTTCTTTTATTATTATTATTTTTATCCTTACCCGAGGACATTTTTCCATTTTTTTGTTCAGGTAGAGTGGGAGGGAGAGAGAGGAACAGAGAGAGAGAGAGAGAAACATCGATGTGAAAGGAACATATCGAGTGGCTGCCACCCGCACAACCGACCAGGGCCAAGGACAAACTGCAACCGAGGTACACGCCCTTAGCGGGAACCGAACCCGGGTCTCTCAGGACCGCAGGCCGACGCTCTAACCGCTGAACCAAACCGGCCAGGGCTAGTGCCTTCTTTTAAAAAGATACCAACAGTAGATAACATAGTTTGTAGAAATTATAATGCCTGCTGTATCAGAACTTGAAAAAAATCAAAGCACCTCAATGGTTAAAGTTTTTAACTTAGGGCAATGAAAAAGAATTGATAATTACCTGGCAAGGAATTGCACCACCCCATTCTTGCTGAACAATGTTGCAAACACCAACTAATGCAGACTCCAAGCAGGTTTTATCATAATCATCCATATTACTTAGTGCTTCCTAATTGAATAAAAGATCAATTGCTCATTTTAATTTGTTATCAGAAAAAAACATAAACTGTTAAAAGCATGAATACTATACAGGGGATATTATTTCTGAGAGTCCCAAAGCACAGGTTCTTAAAAACAGTAAAACAGACTTCCTCAGCTATAAAGGATAATTAAAAGAGCTTCTCTTTATTCTGTCTGCTTATCAGGTGAGAGTGAACGGCCAACCAAGTTCATGTCTTTATAAGTGAACCTTGAAGGAAATAATTAAAACGAAGCACTTATATTATTATTATTTTTTATCCTCACCTGAGGACATTTTTCCATTTTTTGTTCAGATAGAGTGGGAGGGAGAGCGAAGGAGGAAGAGAGAGAGTGAGAGAAACATCGACGTGAAAGGGACACATCAAGTGGCTGCCACCAGCACGACCAACCAGAGCCAGGGACAAACTGCAACCGAGGTTCGTGCCCTTAGTGGGAACCAAACCCGAGTCTCTCTGGACCGCAGGCCGACGCTCTAACCGCTGAGCAAAACCGGCCAGGGCAGAAGCACTCTTAAATACATTACAAAGCCCTGGCCGGTTTGGCTCAGTGGTTGAATGTTAGCCTTCGGACCAGAGAGTCCTGGGTTTGGTTCCCGCTAGGGGCACATACCAAAAAATAAATTAATAAATAAATTAATTAATAAATACACTACAAAAATGCTAAAATTTATTGAGGACTAACTGTATCCTAAACACCATTCTAGACACTTTACATGCCATTTAATCATCACAACACCTTACATATTATCAATCTTTTTTTTTTTAAAGAATAGTTTATTGATTTTGAGAGAGAAAGGAAGGGAGAGGGAGAAACATCAATGTGAGAGCACACATTGATAGGCTGCCTCCTGCATGCCCCCTACCTGGGATCAGGGATCGAGCCTGCAACCTGGGCATGTGCCCTTGATAGGGAATCTAACCAACCGGCAACCTCCCAGCGCACAGGACTACCCCCAACCACTTGAGTCACACTGGCCAGGGCTTAAACCTATTTTTTAAAATGAGGAAACTAAGGTACAGAATAATTAGGTAACTTTCTTAGGTCTCATGACTACAGGTGTCAGAATCTAGATTTGAATGAACCCAGTCTGACTCCAGGACTCCTGGTCTTAACAATTACTTTGCAACATTTAAATAACAATTCTCTAAATGTCAGAACTGCTGAACATCCAAGATTCTTAGTTTACTCACAAGAAATCCAGTTCAATTTATTTATTTAAAAAAAATTTTTTTAAAATTGATTTTAGAGAGAGAGGGAGATGAAGAAAAAGAAACACTGATGAGAGAGAAACATTGATGGCTGCCTCCTGCATCCCCCCTACTGGGGATCAAGCTGGCAACCTGGGCATGTGCCTTTACTGGCAATTGAACCAGCAATCTCTCAGTGCATGAAATGATGCTCAACCATTGAGCCACACTGGCCAGGGTAAAATCCAGTGCAATTTATTATTATTATTATTATTATTATTATTATTATTATTGTTAATCTTCATCCAAGGATATTTTTCCATTGATTTTTAGATAGAGTGTGTGTGTGGGGGGGAAATGGGGAGAGAAACGTAAGTGTGAGAGAGACACATCAATAGGTTGCCTCCTGCATGACCCTGCAACCCAGGAATCAAACCTGCAATCCAGGTACATGCCCTTGACTGGGAATCGAACCTGAAACCCTTTTGTCTGCGGGCCAGTGCTCTAACTTCCAGGGCTTCCAGTGCATTTTAAAAAAAAAGCTTTTCACTTTAAAAAAAAAGCTCAGTCACTTTAAAAAAAGTGAGATAATAGCCCGGCCAGAGTGGTTCAGTGGATTGAGCGTTGTCCCATTGACTGAGAGGTCCTGGTTAGGGCACATGCCTGGGTTGTGGGCTTGATCCCGGGTAGGGGGCATGCAAAAAGCAGCCAATTGATGTTTCTCTCTCACACTGAAGTTTCTATTTCTCTCTTCCTTCCTCTCTCTCTAAAAAATCAATAAAAAATTATTAAAAAAAAAAAAAACCAAAAAACCGTGTGAGTCTTGGCTGGTTTGGCTCAGCAGTTAAAGCATTGGCCCTTGCACCAAAGAGTCACGGGTTCGATTCTGGTCATAGGCACGTACCTTGGTTGTGGTTCGGTCCCCGGCCCTCGTTGGGGTCATGCAGAAGGCAACCAATCAATGTGTCTATCTCACTCAATCTCTCTCTCTCTCTCTCTCTCTCTCTCCCTTACACTCTATCTGAAGATAAATGGAAAAATATCCTCAGGTGAGGATTAAAAAAAAAAAGTGACATATTAAAAGAAATGATTTAACAAAATTTTATTACTTATACTTTGAAAATCAAACTACATTGGTCTTGGATTTCTAAACTGCCTAGTAATTATTAAATTATTAAATTTAATTTCATAAACACTTATTGAATACTCACTCTGGGTAAGGCACTGTGCTAGGCATTGTTGGAAATATTAATGATTCAGAGATGTCAGAAAGTAAGTTCTCGAACCCTGGCCAGTTTGGCTCAGTGGTTAGAGCGTTGGCCAGAAGACCAAAGTCTCAGGTTCGATTCTGGTCAAGAGCACATACTTCAGTTGCAGTTCAATCTCCGGCTCTGGTTGGGGTCGTGCAGAGGCAACCAATCGATGTGTCTATTGCACATCAATGATCCCCTCTCTCTCTCTCTCTCTCCCTCCTTCCCTCCCTCCTACTCTATCTGAAAAGCAATAGAAAAATATCCTCGGGTGAGGATTAAAAAAAAGAAAGTAAGTTCTTTTTTTTTTCCCCTCACCCGAGGACATTTTTCCATTTTTTGTTCAGATAGAGGGGGAGAGGGAGAAGGGGAGATAGAGAAACATCGATTTGAAAGGGACACATGGAGTGGCTCCCTCCCTCATGACCCAACCAGGGCTGGTTCAAACTGCAACCGAGGTATGTGCCCTTAGCGGAAACTGAACCCGGGTCTCTCTGGTCTGCAGGTTGACGCTCTAACCGCTGAGCCAAACTGGCCAGGGAAGAAAGTAAGTTCTTAAGCATATCATAGACAACACCTTTGAAGATAACACCTATCGTCCTGGCCAATTTTGCTCAGTGGTTAGAGTGTCGGACCACTCCGACACTTGGACCAGAGAGTCCCAGGTTCGGTTCCCACTAAGGGCATGTACTTTGGTTGCAGTTTGTCCCTGGCCCTGGCTGGGGTCGTGTGGGTGGCAACCACTCGGTGAGTCTCTCTCACATCGATGTTTCTCTCTCTCTGTTCCTCCCTTTCTCCCTCCCCTCTCTCCCTCCTGCTCTGTCTGAAGATAAATGCAAAAAAAAAAAAAAAGATAACACCTATCAAACGAGGCTTAAAAATTATAATTTCTTGGCATCTGTAAATCAAAGGCTATTTGTTGGAGAGGAAATAAAATTTTGAATTACTCCAGAGTACAAGTTTTGATGAGGCCCTGGCCAGTTTGGCTGAGCAGTTAGAGCGTTGGCCCATGGACCAAAGAGTAGTGGGTTTGATTCCGGTCAAGGGCAAGTACCTTGGTTGTGGTTTGTCCCCGGCTCTGGTTGGGATCATGCTGGAGACAACCAGTCGATGTGTCTCTATCACATTGATGTTTCTCTCTCTCTCCCTCTCCTTCCCACTCTATCTGAAGATAAATGGAAAAACATCCTCGGGTGAGGATTAATAAAAAAAAAAAATTAAAAAAAGAAAAAGTTTTCATGAGGAAGGGTCATTTTTCATCTCTTCAAGTTTTATAGGAAAAGAAGTAAAGTGTTGAACCTAAAGATCCTGAACTTTAGGGAGCAGGGCACTACATCCTGAGAGAATTCCAGTAAACCAAGAGAAGAAAATAAGGCAACAACCCACATCTCTAACTCATAGCTCTACCAAAGGCATAAAACCTCGTGGTTTGAATCCTTATTTTATAGCTATAATCAGATATTATACCCGTAGACTTATTAAATAATTCCAAGTTCTAAATATTCAGTACAATATAACACCTTTTGCTCCCTATAAGTTTGAACCTTGTATATACAATAACTCATTTCTTTTTGTACCTGTAGAGTGTTATAATCTCTTGTGAAGGGAACCATCAGCTCCCAGAGTGATGAAAAAACCACCAGGGCTGTAAACTCAAGCTTGTAATTCGTGGCCATGTGCTCAAACAGCATCGTTAAACCATGGGCTGCTAGGTGCTTGCGCTGATATTCTTCAGACCCCTCAATAGACACAGGTCGGGTCATGGAAAGGGATACATCCATTACCACTACTGTTGGCATGATGAAAATGATCCCAGTGTTTCAATCAGAATGCAAACAGACAGCTATAAATAAAAAAAAGCTGTAGAAAATAAACATGGTTAGACTTATGTGTTATGGAGAGTAAAAAGTATTTTTAAAATTAATTAATTTTATTGTTGAAAGCATTACAGATGTCCCCCCAAAAGTATTTTTCACCATAATTTTAACCAAATTTTCCAGAAATGAGTGGGGGCAAACCCCATTTAAATTGAGGTGCAGGCCAATCTGCAGAGAATTCAGTGGGAGGGAAACAAGCAAGCAATCACCCACTAAATGGTCATAAATCAAAGACCTTAAGTATTTCTATTCAAATTCAGGTAGCCCTTGACTTTCACAGTTCCAAATTTTATACAACTTAATATAACAAACACTCCTACATCCCCTCTCCAACACTTAAATTACTAAAGAACATTTCTATCTGTCATGGTGGTGATTTTTGACAAAAAAAATCTTTTTGGGCATCATCACCATCTTAATCAATATAACAGTATTTGTGCAGGTGTTTGTTTAATTATCTTGTTGCTTGGTGTCCCCCCTTTTTAAATTAAAATGAATGCAAAAATATAAAAATAAAAGGGCTAGTAAAATCGTAATCCAAATTAGACAAAGTTCGAAATCATTAAGCATGACAAAAGCAAGACTGTTAGCCTCAGTAGTACTCATTGAATGTAACGAAGCAACAGGGCTTTCTTTTTTTTTTTATCCTCACCTGAGGACATTTTTCCATTTTTTGTTCAGATAGAGCGGGAGGGAGAGAGAGGAAGAGAGAGAGAGAGAGAAACATCGACGTGAAGGGACACATCGAGTGGCTGCCACCCGCACGACCAACCAGGGCCGGGGACAAACTGCAACCGAGGTACGTGCCCTTAGCGGGAACCGAACCCGGGTCTCTCTGTACCGCAGGCCGACGCTCCAACTGCTGAGCCAAACCGGCCAGGGCAACAGGGCAACAGGGCAACAGAGCAACAGGGCAACAGGGCAACAGGGCCTTCACTGTGAAGGAAAAGAACCAAGTTAAAGAATACGTATGACAGCTGGCATTATTTCAAGTAATTGTGTATAAAAGTCAAAATGTAGAGGACAAGGAGAAAAAGAGTCCTTTAAAATTATGGGTTGAGCCCTGGTCTTGACTCAGTGGTTAGAGTGTTGGTCCTCAGACAGAAGAGTCATGGGTTCGATTTCTGGTCAAGGGCACGTACCTGGGTTGCAGGTTTAATCCCAGGCCCAGGTCAGGGTGGTGTGGGAGGCAACTAGTTGATGCATCTCTCTACATTGATGTTTCTTTCTCTCTCTCCCCCTCCCTCCCTTCCACTCTAACTAAAAATTAATGGAAAAATATCCTTGGGTGAGGATTGACAAAAAAAAAAATTAAAAATGAATGAAAAAATTATGGATTGAGAATTAGCATGAAGAAAACACTTATGTGCTCAAAAATAAAACTCACAGATACACAGACCTGCTTGCTGCTCCTCTATTATTAAGCAAACTATAGTCTATTGACACAATAAAATAGCATATAAATAAATGACACATGTAGGTATCAGAAATATTTGTATAAAATATTACTAACAGAAAAGCTGGTCACAGGATTGTATATATACACTGATTACAACTTCATAAAAATCATATTGTATATATACAATTAGGGAAGGCTCTAAATGGACATAACAGGTTAGAAATTTAATGTTCATTAATTTCTTTTTTGGAACTTACTTAAAAACACTTAACAGTGGCCAGACTGCTTGATTTGGTACAATTTCCAACTGCAAGTGTGAGATATTCTAAAAATCTATGTGTAAATAGGTTTCGGGAGAACTCAGAACATATTGGTTCATGGAAACAATGTTATCAATGAAGGCCAGGGACTAAGTCAGGTAGGAAAAGCCTTTTTAGCACATAATGAATGGCCTGAGATACATTTCAAATACAATAATGCCTCATGTATCCAACATCAATAAAGATTAAACCAGAGATATAAAGTACCTTTCCAGACTTCTTAGAATTCTAGTGTTTAACCATTTTGATAGAAAAAAATTAAAATGTGTATCCTTCTTCTCTGCATCTTAAACACTGTATGCTAAACATAATGCACACTCTTATAATGACTTGACATCACCACTCTAAACACCAATAATGCCCATCCTGATATTTTACTTATACTAGCATTCCCCCAAGTGTGTGCTTCAGAACACTGTTCTAGAGGGATCCTTCAAGAAAAATGAGTTCAGGCCCTGGCCTGTTTGGCTCAGCGGTTAGAGCGTCGACCTGAGGTCCAGAGAGACCCGGGTTCGGTTCCCGCTAAGGGCACGTACCTCGGTTGCAGTTTGTCCCGGCCCTGGTTGGGTCATGCAGGTGGCAACCACTTGATGTGTCTCTTTGACATCAATGTTTCTCTCTCTCTCTCTCCCCCTCCCTCCCTCCCTCCCACTCTATCTGAACAAAAACTGGAAAAAATGTCCTTGGGTGAGGATAAAAAAAAGAAAAATGAGTTCAGGCCTGCAGATGCTGAGTTCCAAAGCAAAGAATCCAGTTTAATTTGCTAACCCTGTGTTTCCCATTTAACCCTTAATTACTGTTAAGGTCCCATAGAATAAGTGTAGTACGTACACAGAAACAATTCCTTGTATTCAAGAAATCCAGGCTGTTGTGCTGTTTTGGTGCCTCCTCTTTGTAATCAGCTTGCATTCCACCTTTTTACAGTAATCCTCTGTAATCATCCTCTAATTTGCCGCTTCTTGGCTATTATGGGCTGGAAAGCCAGATAATCAAGTTTGTTAAAACTGGGTCCAAAGTCAAAGTTACCTGTTCTGAGAGCCTGTGGGTTTCTTATAGCATCAGCTTAAGTGTCAACTCGGTACTATTTAATCTACTCAGCCTTATAACTTTTCTTTCTGGGTCTCAGCTATGTTGTTCAAGTGAGGTCCTACACAATACTGGTTCAACTACATTACATCAGATAATATACCCAGTAAGGGTAGGGAGCCAAGTTAGATTTTGCCCACTAATGTCTCCTCAGAGCCTATCACAGTAAGTGGCACACAGTAAGTGCTTTACAAATGTTTGATGACTAATGAACTACCCCTAATAAACATATATAACATTAATTCTTTGGCAAAACACCTGATGAATTTTAACTCTGGACACCAGAAACACATTTCCTCCTCTCCTCATTTAAGCAGAGACATCAGCAACTCCTATGCCTCTGTCCACTTACAGAGTTTATGGTCCCATAAACTCCAGGGTGGTCCCATGCATGCATAGAGGCCTTTATGTTACTGAAAGTTGGGGATCATAGGGAGTATTAGCCTTGCCTCTTAGGAGAATGGGAGACAGGATAGCTTTAGATCAGTTATAAGTAAGCACTTCTGGCCCACGAAATCTGCTGTAATACTGGAATGGGTGACCACTGCAGGCAATCTGTCCTTCCCTGCACAAACCTCTGGAGATGGCCTTCTCCTGACTGACGCATTTGTGTCCACCAGCAAACACCCCTCCTTAACAATGGCAAAGTCATGGGAAACCAATTTAATAACTCAGGTTTAAGTATATAAGTAAGCCCTGGCTGGTTTGGCTCAGCCGTTAGAGCGTTGGCCTGCAGTCCAGAGAGACCCGGGTTCAGTTCCCACTAAGGGCATGTACCTCAGTTGCAGTTTGTCCCCAGCCCTGGTTGGTCGTGCGGGTGGCAGCCACTCGATGTGTCCCTTTCCCATCGATGTTTCTCTCTCTCTCTCTTCCTCTTTCTCCCTCCTACTCTATCTGGTCAAAAAATGAAAGAATGTCCTCGAGTGAGGATACCAAAAAAAAAAAAAGTATATAAGTAGAAGAACTGAGTGTTTTTCAAGGATGGTTCATTCAAACAGCCTAGGCCTGATAAAATAAAGTCCTTGCCCACTACAGTCCAGCAATCTCGTGAGAGCCTGGATTTCTCACTTGGGTTGATTCTCACCTGCAGGTCTCCTCCCTACCCCACCCCCACACCACAAGCAGTGTTTACTTACAACGCGTGAGACAACTAGGGGTCTCATTCTCAACAACAGCCTACTCCTGAGAATAGATCCCATTTGGCCTTAATGCCAAGCCTCCATCAGTACATTTATGATTCTTCCCTTAAGGTGACAATTCGCTCATTTATAAAGAATTGATTCTCAGCAGTTTAGCTCCAAAGCGTGAGAAAGAGAGTGAGTGAGAGAGAGAGTGAAAGAGAGAGAGAGATCGATCTGAACTCTCTTGGGAGGCGGAGGGGTGCAGAGGCCTGGGCAGGGGGCCGAAATCTCGGTGTTTGTGCGGAGTCGGCGACCCTCGAGCCCCAGGGCCCGGGAAGGCCCGGTGCAGGGCCCCAGCACTGGCGTCGCAGAGACCGCGCGGAGCGGCTGCCGGGAAAGCCGGGCGCTGGCCCCGCATTGCTGCCCACCCGCGACCCCTGCTCCTGCAAGTCCAACAAGCAACGAAAGGGAACCTCTGGCCCCCGGCCTCCCCCACTCACCCGGCGCCCAACGCCGGCACAGTCCGTCCGCATAAACTTTCCGCCCGCGCACCACAGCCGGAACTATAGGGCCGTGCGACAAAGGGAACCCGGAGCCGGACTACACGCGGGGCTGGGGCGGGGCTTTAGGGACCGCGTGGGGCGGGGCTCGGCTCGGTGGGGACGCCAGGGGGCGCGTTCTTCCCAGCGCCTCCCACGCCGGTGCGTCCGCCAGGACCCCTCTCTGCGCGCCTCTTCAGTATCGCGTCTGAGCTGTGTCCGCCCCTTCTCTTACCCCCTCTCCACGGGCCCCAGTTACCTCTGGCCTCTTGCCCACCTGCTGCTTTCCTGTAACTCTGTGACCCCTTCACACTTTTGCCTCTTACTAACCCGGCCCGTTGGTGCCACCAGCCCCAACCCTCCGATATTTGCCCCTCTTCTCCGTCACTCTTCAGACCCCTCCCTCCTAGTCTCTGAGCCAGTTGACAGAATCCTCTTCATACTCTCTTTGAACTAGAATTCCTGCCCCAGGTGCTCATACTAAGCACGCTGTATATTTCTCTTAGCTGACCTGAGCCAACTTACGTGGCAAGACTCTTCCTCTCGGTCTCGCCCGCACGTCGCTCACTTTACCCCCCAGCCCTTGTCAGGGGAGCAGAGGGAGCGCTCCCCGAGTCCCGCCTGCCCTGGCCAAGCTGCACTGCCGAGGGATTTGCTCTCAGGCTTCCCTGTGAGGCAGCGTGGGCACCTTTGGACCTGGTGCTCCCACAGTAGCCTGTGCTCCAGTGAGGTGCTCGAGGGGGCAAGAAGTAACTTCCTCTCTAACCGTGTAGGGCGCCAGGAAATGCCCGCTAGAGAGGCAGGCCTCAGTGGATGCCCGCAGGCCCTGGGGTAGTTGTGGTTCAAAGAACCATGTTGTACCACAGAGATTACCAGTGGGACCAGAAAGGCCTCTAGAAAACCTTAAGCCTTTGCCTCTTTTAGTTGGTGGGATGGGGCGATGTGGAGGGTGAGTCAAGGAGGGAGAGTGCTTTGACGTGAACAACCGAGTCTGACTTTTCACAGCTTGTTGTGGGAGCGTGCGGGCTCCAATTGCTCGTAGTTCTTTCCATCTCCTCCTTGTACTAGAGGTGGCAGAGGAAGTCAAGTCAGTCTCTGGTAATGTTCCTGCCAGTATCAGGTCCCAGGAGCCTGCAGACTGTCCCATTTGCTTCAGTACTTCTCTCCCCTACTTGGCTGGTCTCACCATATCAGGACCTTGTTATGCTTGAGCAGGTTCTGAGATCTAGGTAAGTAAGACTGCATACTGATCACTTGATTAGAATTTCTAATTCTTTTCCTCATGGAAGGGATGTGGCCAAGAACCCGTGGGCAAGGGAGTTGTCTAACTACCCCTAATGTGATGATGACTCAGCCACAGGGTCACTTTTCCTGGTAGTTCCAGCTTAGTTCCATGGACTGATTCCTTATCTTAGTCCCAAAGCTTAAGTTTACCAGTTTGCTGATGGGTGATGAGATCTTGGTGACCTAATTCTTCTGAATACAGGCTTCCAGGAGACTAGGGAAGTAAAAGGGCAATTTATTAAAATTGACAATTACCCTGCTCAGTGGTTAGAGCATCAGCCTGTACACTGACAGTGTTTCTCTCTCTCTCTCTTTCTCTCTCCCTCTCCCTCCCTCCCCCTCTCCCCCTTCCTCCATCCCTTCCACTCTCTTTAAAAAAAAAAAAAAATCAATGGAAAAAAATATCCTCAGATGAGGATTAACCAAAAATAATTTTTTTTTTGGACCATAAAAGAACTACCAAGAGGACTGCATCACTTTGGGCAACTGGGGAGTGCTTTTGTATTTTTTTTAATTCTTAGTAGAATTACATTAAAATCAGAAGGTTGTTCAGTGAATATAAAGTCAGAGACCATCAAAGAGTTGAAAAGTCTTTTTTTTTAAATTTATTTTATTTTGAGAGAGAGAGAGAGAGAGAGAGAGAGAGAAATACATTAATGTGAGAAACATCAGTCAGCTGCCTCCTGCACGCCCCCTACTGGGGAATGGAGCCCACAACCTGGACATGTGCCCTGACCGGGAATCCAACCAGGACTTCTCAGTCCATGGAATGATGATCAATCCACTGAACCACACCAGCCAGGCAAAGAGTTAGAAGGTCTTAAAGGAGAAGTCTTTCAAGCTGTAGCTGGCTAATGAATTTCTTTTTGCCACTCAAGAGACCTTCATCATTTGTGTATTTCCACACACATATTAAAGGAAATCCACAAAGATGAAGGGTAAAAAGTAAGTGAGTGGAGAAAAGAGGAAGAGAGTGTGGGGGAAAGCAGTGAGCCCACATCCTTTTTCTGTTCTCTCCCTTTCACTATCCTATACTGTCCTTTGCCCTGTGCCTTCCTTTCTGCCTCCTCTGGACTATACCTTGTCCACTCTGACATCTTACTTCCAAGCTCCAGGCTATCCTCTTTCTCTCATCCCCATACCACATTCCAATATTTTCACCAGAGTGGATGTCTAAAGAAATTGTACTTATGACCCTTCTCTCTTTTTAAAATATGTTATTACTGGGAAACTTAAAACATAGACAAAGATAGGGGAAATAGCATAATAAATCTTCATGTATCCTTCACCCAGCTTCTACTGTCAACTCAATTCTCAATCTTATTTCATTTATACATCTACACATGTCTCCTCAACATATTATTTTTAAAATGTTTTTATTGATTTTTTTAGAGAGAGGAAGTGAGAGAGAGAAACATTGATGTGAGAGAGAAGTATTGATCAGCTGCCTCCTGCATGCCCCCCACTGGGGACCAAGCCCACAACCCGAGCATGTGCCTTGACCGGGAATCGAACTAGGACCTCTCAGTCTATAGGACGATGCTCAGTCCACTGAACCACACCAGCAGGAAAACATTATTATTATTATTTTTATAATCCTCACTTGAGGATATTTTTCCATTGATTTTAGATAGAATAGAAGGGAGGGAGGGAGGGATGGAGGGAAGAGAGAAGAGAGAGAAACATTGATGTGAGAGAGACAGACACATTGATTGGTTGCCTCCTGCATGACTCAGACCAGGGCCAGGGATCAAACCTGCAACCTAGGTACATGCCCTTGACCAGGAATCAAACCCATGACCCTTTGGTTCATAGGCCAACACTCTAATCACTAAGCTGAACCAGCCAGGGCATGATGCATTTTCTATTTTTTTTGTTTTTGTTTTGTTTTTTTATCCTCACCTGAGGACATTTTTGCATTTATCTTCAGATAGAGTGGGAGGAAGAGAGAGAGAGAAACATTGTTGATGAGAGAGAGAAACACTGAGTGGCTGCCACCCACATGACCCCAACCAGGGTGGAAACAAACTGCAACCGAGGTACGTGCCCTTAGCGGAAACCGAAACCGGGACTCCCCGGCCCGCGGGCCAATGCTCTAACCGCTGAGCCAAACTGGCCAAGGCATGATGCATTTTCTAGATCAGATAACATTTTATTCATAAATATTTCAGTATGTATTTCTAAAATATAAGGACTTAGTTTTTAATTAATAAACTTTATGTTTAGAGTAGTTTTAGGTGCATAGCAAAATAGAGTAGAAAATACAGAGTGTTCCATGTACTGTGTGCACACCCCCACACACAGCCTTCTGCACTATCAACATCCCACACCAGAGTGATGTATTTATTACAATTCATGAACCTACATTGACACATCATTATCACCTGAAGTCCATAGTTTACCTTAGGGGGTCACACTTGGTGTTGTACATTCTATAGGTTTGACAAATGTGTAATGACATGTGTCCACCTCTGTAGTGTACTATACACAGTAGTTTAACTGCTCCAAAAATCTTCTGTGCTCTGCCTTTTTATCTCCCTCTCCCCTGACTCCTGGAATCACTGATCTTACTGTTTCCATAGTTTTGCCTTTTCCAGAAAGTCATATACTTGGAATCATAGTTTGTAACCTTTTCAGATTGGCTTCTTTTGCTTAGTAATATGCACTTAAGTTTCTTTCATGTCTGCTCATGGCTTGGTAGCTATTTCTTTCTAGCACTAAATAATATTCCACCTTGTGAACTGGGTTCCTATCTCCATCTTTCTGGAGCAGATTGAGACCATGTTAGATAGTGTGAGAAGGGAAGTAACTAGATCTGGTTCTGTCTGCAGGAGTCTAAAGGCAAGGATGTGGAAACTAGCAGAAGTCAGCCCCTCTACCCAGGCTTCCAACATTCAGAGTGACTCCAGGACACCCAGAGATGACGACAGCTCTTCCACAGGGGGTGGGCACCTCTGTGTGCTTCAGGAGAGGAAGCTGGGTACCTTCTCACTGTTATAAGCCATTCAGGGGGAAGTAGGGCAGAAGGGAGGCTATGAGGATTACCTGCTATTTTCAGTGAACATAACCAAAGTGGTATGCTATCCATGTACCTTGGGGAAATGTGAAGAGGAGAAAAGAACCATCAGTAAGTTTCAGGCAGAGTTAGCTAAATGATTGAAATGGCTGCCAGGTCAATGGGTAGGATCATGAGACATTCCCCCCAAATGCTTCACTTCACTCCCACTTCATTCAGCTTCAGCTCTGAGTTGGAAACACAACTCCTGGGGTATCTTGGGATGTTCCAGTCTGCTCTGGGGAGATCTGTCAGTGCCCTCTTCCCCAAGGATTTCCCTTGGGCCTAATAAAATATTTTGCATGTGTGAAATGCTTTAAAGTTTTTAAAGTATCTTCCTCACATTCCCTCATTTAAAAAAAATAGACTATTTCTGCCCTGGCTGGTGTGGCTCAGTTGGTTGAGTGTTATCCCATACATGGAAAGATTGCTGGTTTGATTCCCTGTCAGGGCACTACCCAGGTTGCGGGTTTGATCCCTGGTGGGGGGGCATATGGGAGGCAACTGATCGATGTTTCTCTCTTACATTGGTGTTTTTCTTTCTCTCTTTACCTTCCTCCCTCTCTATAAAATCAATAAAAACATATTTTTTAAAAAATAGACTATTTCTTAGAGCAATTTTAGGTACAGCAAAATTGAGCAGATATTTTCTCATTTAAAATTTTGATTCTCACCATCCACCCTATAAATAGGTAGGATGGGTATTATTATCTCCACATTTACATTTAGATTACATTTAGAATCACACAGTAGCAAATGGAGCTGTGGTGCTCACTGAGGTCTTCTGATCTCTTAAGCCTTAGGCACTTTCTCTTGGTTCCCACAGAGCTAATTCTGAATCTTTCCTTCCCATGAGCTGGGAAACTTCAGACCACCTCTCATTCCCAGAGCTTAGAAGCAAGTTTGAGAAGTTCCCCCAGCTTCCCCCTTGACTACAGGAGCCAATGAAAGCCCATCTGTGTCCCTGGTGGAAGGTACACCCTCTTAGTCTCTAGCAGAGGCACCAAGACCCAGAACTTGTAAAATGCCCTGATAAGCTTCTTAGAAGTGGGTATTAGCAGGGATTAGATATTCTTCCCCTGAGATGCCCTTCATAACTGACCCTGCCTTGAATTAGGATTCCATAGGAGAGCTGGGGGCAGGAGGATGGGGTGTTCCCTGCTGTCCAGTTTAAGACCCCTTCTTTGAGACCCTGGATTTTGACAAGTTTCCAGAACTGAGAAGACACCCAGATGTCCAGGTTTGAAGGTAGGTGATTAGGTAGGATGGATCATCTGGGATGCCAGCTCAGCTCTGTTAAATAACACAGGCACACCAGAAAGAGAGAGACCCTCCGAAGTTTCTTTAGGAGATTCGAAGTGTTGAGTTTATAGCAAAGGATAGGGTGGACAGGGGGACAGTGGAAAGACAATTATAGGAATCAAGGACAAAGAAGAAAAATTACTTATCTCGTAGTTGTCCTTTTGCTTGTCCCTCTTTTGCTTTTTCAGAGAACTGCATTTACATCTCCAATATGGTATGCTGGAAAGACTGGTGCATTAGACGGCTCATCTGCACTACTATTCACTAGCTGCGTGACACAGCAAATCATGTCTCTCTGGACCTCAGTTTCTTTTCATTTATGAGAGAGAGAGAAACATCAGTTTGTTGTTCCACTTTTTTATACATTCCTTGGTTGATTCTTGTATGTGCCCTGACCAGGGATCGAACCCAAAACCTTGGCGAGTTGCTAACCAGCTGAGCAACCAGGCCAGGGCGAACCTCAAGTTCTTCACATCTTAAATGGAGAGTTATACTGAACAGTGTTAGTAACTTCTGCCTTTAACCACCTAAGATTTCTATAGGTTACTCCTCTTACTTCTAATAGATTACTTCATATATAAAACTGATAATTCCTAGTTACTCTTTTGTAATAATCTGTGGACATTGATTAGAGATTTAATAAATATTTAAATCTCTTACTTGGGCTGGGTCTCAGTGCCCTTGATAAATTGGGCATTCTTTGAGGGCCTTTCATGTTCTTTCCTCCTGTATCCTTATGTAAAATGGCCCTTATGTAGCACTTGATTCTGTACAGTGCTCTTCACAGACCTATGTGTTTTACTCTCCCAACATGCCTGTGACATAGGTATTGCTATTACTATTTACATACCTAGACATTGTTATTACTATTACATTGAGTTAAATTAAATTTAAATTTAAAATATAACACCTATATAAATAAAGAGATTAAATGGTTAAACTGAACAGTAAGATATACTAAAAAGTAAGTCTCCTTTTGACCCCTGGCCTTTAGTTTCCCTTCTCTAGATGTTCTTCCAGAGATCATCTTTGCATAATCAATATCTATGTTATGCCCATTTTACAGATGAGGCACTGAAGCTCAGCCTGTCCCAGGTGACACAGCTGGCAAGCAACATAGCTGGGACTCCAGGCCTTTGACTCCATTCTCCAAGTTCCTTCCACCATATCGCACTGTCTGGGAACCTTCATGACATTAAGTTTTAAGCTTTATCCTCCCTGGATGATATGGTGGAATTGTTTTAAGTCAGTCTGAAAAAAACATGCAGAGTCTTTATGTGTTTGGCACCGTCTTCCACTGCTGCCCCTTTTTGTCCAGAGTTTAAAACTATGTCTTTTTTTTTTTTACCTCCCTTCTACCATTGATAAGGTATGATCTGTGGCCTGGGGCTTGGGCCTAGGAGTGCTGACAGACCTTGGGTGGACCCAGCTCAGGAACCTAGGCTGCTGGCACGCCTGCACAGTACAGAGGACCCCTAGATGCTCTTTTTCCCATGAGCAGACATTTCCCCCCTGAGCAGGGGCAGAGGTAGTTTTGCTCCAACAGAAACATCTGTCTTCTACCACAAAGGTCCCTGCATGAATTGTTACTCTTTTCCAGGTGAGGGTTTGGGGGATCCCAGCTTTCTTCTTAGGGGCAAATAACTTTCTCTCTCTCTCTCTCTCTCTCTCTCTCTCTCTCTCTCTCTCTCTCTCTCTCTAGGTTTGTAGCTATCTCTTGGCAGGGCTTCATGGAGAAATCTTTCCTGATCACCAACCTGAATCCCAGAACAGCCCCCATCTTTCAATGGACAGAATGAGAGGCCTTTTGTAACCTGGCATAACTCGCTGTCATGGGGAAATTCATCAGGATGGGAATGCAGAAAAGGCAGTTACTCCGGCCAAAACGGCTTCAGTGGAGTCGCTTCCTCTTCCTACTGGGAATGTTGATCATCGGTTCCACCTATCAGCACCTGAGCAGCCCCCAGGGCCTCCCCTCACTGTGGGCAGCAGTCTCTTCTCAACACCCTGTAAAACTGGCCAGCCGGGATCTGCTCAGCAGTGAGATAATGATGGTGAGCAGTGACCCTCCAACAGCTAGTTCTGAAATGGAGGGTGAGACACTGGCACCCCAAGCCACAGTGGACAAGAAGGAAGCAAAACCTGGCATAACAATGGAGAACACCCCCAATATACTCAGAAGAACAGCCAACATCTTTCCAACGGTACCCAAGAATAACTATAGCCCAACAGCAGCAGGCACAGAAAGAGTGAAGGAAAACACCCTAACCACACCAAGTGGAGTACTGAATCATTATACCCCAACTTCCAGCAGGTCAACAGTAAAGAATTATACTCCAACAACATCCAGGGGAGAAATGAAGCACTACCATCCAACTCAAACCAGGGGAAAGGTGAAAAAATACACCTTATCCCCACATGGTAGAGTAGTAAACTCTGCCCCATCCACATTCATGACAATGACAAGAAGCCATGGGATCACCCCCAGGACAACAGTAAAAGACAGTGAAACTATGGCAACTTACAAAATATCAGAGACCACCCCCTCCAAGGGAGAAGTGAAGGAAACCATCCCAACTACTCTCAAGGGAATAATTGATAACACTCCAACTTTCCTGATAAATTACACAGAAACAAACATTTTGACTTCTAGGAGTACAGTGGAAAAGAGTACCCTGATTACCCCCAGAAAAGTGGACAATAACAGCTCAACCAACAACCTGATGACTTCCCAGGGAACAGCCTTAGAACACACCACAGCCATCTCTGAGGGGCAAGTGACGATTAGCACCATGACAGGGAGCAGCCCAGCAGAAACCAAAGGCTCTACTGCTGCTTGGGAGGTTAGGAATCCTTCATCCAGAACCAGAGCACCAACCATTGGAATGTCCTTAGCCACCTTCTGGAAGCTGGCGAAGAGACCTTCCACAGCACCAAGCACCTCAGCATCTCCCAGCGTCAGGTCAAATCTGACCACCCAGGTTCGTCACTGTGTGGTTGTGGAGCCCACTCCGGCTATGCCCACTACCCCCTCCCCCAGCCTGATAACGGCCCTGCTTCCAGAGGCACCCAGTCCCTCAGCACTGCCCCCCACCCAGTCAGACCTCCACCCCAAAGCAGAGTACCCTCGAGACCTGTTCAGTGTGGAAGAGCGACGGCAGGGGTGGGTGGTCCTGCACATCTTTGGCATGATGTATGTGTTCGTGGCCTTGGCCATTGTGTGTGACGAGTACTTTGTCCCAGCCCTGGGCGTCATCACAGACAAGCTGCAGATATCTGAGGATGTGGCAGGTGCCACATTCATGGCTGCTGGAGGCTCTGCTCCTGAGCTCTTTACCTCTCTCATCGGCGTCTTCATTTCCCACAGCAATGTGGGCATCGGCACCATCGTGGGCTCTGCTGTGTTCAACATCCTCTTTGTCATCGGCACCTGTGCCCTATTCTCCCGGGAGATCCTCCACCTCACCTGGTGGCCCTTATTCCGTGATGTCTCCTTCTACATCCTTGACCTGATGATGCTCATTCTCTTCTTCCTGGACAGCCTCATTGTCTGGTGGGAGAGCCTGCTGCTGCTGCTGGCCTATGCCTCCTATGTGTTCACTATGAAGTGGAACAAGAAGCTCGAGCTCTGGGTGAAGGAGCAGCTCAACAGGAGGCCAATGGCCAAGGTCATGGCCCTAGGGGACTTCAGCAAGGTAAGAAGAGGCTAGCTTAGGCTTCTCTAGCCCCTTTGGGGGAAAAGGGTGGGGGAAGGCCGGGACTAAAGAATGGAAAGTGTTGGGTCAGACCTCAAGAGATGGGTGCTTTGATTCCCTTGCTGTTCATTCAACATTTAGAGTCCTGTTCTCTGCCAGGCACTATGCTGGGGTCTTTGCCCAGAGTGACCTTGGTTCAGCCCCCAATCATCCTATAAAATGGTTATTATTATGATCCCCTGTTGGCAAGGGAAGAAACTGAGGCCTACTGAAATCAAACTACTTGTTCAACGTCACACAGCAAATAAGCGGTAGAGTCGGGATTTGAACCCATGTTGGTCTGACTGGGTCTTTGGAAATAACATTTGAGCTGGGCTTTGTAAAATGTCCAAGGAGATATCAGGCAGGGAAAAATGATCATCTCTTCTATGTGCATGGTATTTAGGGTGTATCTAGCAGCTGTTTGCCAACCAGTGAGAGTGGTGCTAAGTTATAGCTCTGTTCTTAACTACTTGTTGAAACAGACCCAGTACAATTTTTAATTATCATTTAATCTTATTTGTTCACATTGCAGATTTGGAGGGTCTGGTGGCTTGGATGGGGTCTGAGAAAAAAGAGGGGAGGATTTTTTCAGTTTTGTATTGTTTTTACAACAGTAAAGATGAGAGCTCTATGCAGCCACTCACAAGCCAACCCTGGGCGCAGAGCCCTCTCTGTGTGCTGACTGGGAACCAGATACTAGGAGCGCTAACCCTGCGGCTTGCTCCTTGCCCCAAAGTTCCTTTCCAAGAAATTCTTTGTCCCCATGAGGGACCTTCCTACTAAATGCATTGCATGATTCAATAACCTGGAAGGTTACATTGGGGAAGTGATCTCTGAAAATTAATCTCAAGGTTGTTTATTCCTTGAGACTCTAAAGTGAAGGCACCTTAGGGACACAGACCCCATTTCTCTCCTGCTCCTAAAGGTTGAGTTTGAGCAAAGGTTGGCGAACAGCCTGCCTGTCTCAGGTCTCAGAGAAACCACTAGTGTGAGCAGAATTTTGCGTGCAAAGAATGGAAGGACTTAGCTACTTAATCCAGAGCAGTTTTGATGAGTGGGCAGGATGGAGAACAAACTCAGCAACATGTCTGGGAGATGCATGATACAAAGGAGATAAAATACACTGTCTTCAGGATTTTTTTGAGATAATGTGGTGTTCTGGTCAAAGCATGGAACTGAGAATTAGGAAACCTGTGTTGTAATTGTGTGAACTTGGACATGCCCCTTCCCTTCCTTGGGGGAAATGATAAAGTCCAGCTAATCACCAGAAGTTCTAACATTAACTGATAATGTCCTGTGTCCAAGTGAGTTCAGTTCTGGCAGGCCCAGCATAATGGTTATTTGTCTGATCTGATCAACCAAGCTTCAATGACCTTATTTGCAGATTGCTCAAAAAGGAGAAATGTTCCACCCAAGGTCATAGAGCCAGTAGGTATCAGAACTGGAACCCAGTGTCTTCATCACCCTCATTCAGCACTATTTCCCACGAGACTGCTACTTCATGGAGCCAGAGGCTTAAAAAAGAAAGGGAGGCTCCGAGTGTCCCATTACTACCTATGAAAAAGCAGGGGCCTCCCTCTGATGAAGTTCTCAGGGTAGGCCTTGCTGCGGTGGTGAGGGAGCCTGGTGCTCTCGTCTGAGAAAAGCATTTACTGCCTGGTAGACTTCAGGCCAGTGGTTTTCAAAATGCCTGCTTCCAGTCCTTTGTAGTAATTCTGTGTGTTTTTTAAACTCTACAAATTTCAAATTTGCCATTTCATCAGAGCTAGACCATCAAAGCAAAGCTTGCCAAGGACAGGAAGCATAATCATGATTTCAAAAGAGAATTTGTAACCTACTTCAGAGACTCTTCAAGGGCTTTCGTAGCAGCTGTTTGCCAACCAGTGAGAGTGGTGCTAGTTGTAGCTCTGTTCTTAACTACTTGTTGAAACAGACCCAGTACAATTTTTAATTATCAGAATTATTTTTTAAAAGCAGGTTGAATTACTAGCTATGCTTGAAAGCAAATCTATATTTATTTAAAATTAAAAACCTATAGTTCAGACTTCCCAGCACTAACCACTGCCTACTAAAAATAACTCAAGAACTATACTTGTTTTGAAATGGTTTTTAAAAACTCTGGATTTGGAGTTTCACCCCAGGTTTCTCATAACCAGAGAGAGAGAGGGAACTGCCTTTGCTTATACCTCTATGTCAGTGTTTGGCTGGCCAAGACCTCTGATCTGGTCAGAGGGAGTCCAGTCATCCTGTATTTCACTGATAGACAGAGGACAAGCCATTCTGTTTTGAATTCATAAGGTAATTCTCTGACTGGGTTGGTATTCATTTTGGTGGTTTATGCAAGAGTATGTATTCATCCCTGTAAATTATTTTACTTTAACTATGAAAATGAATATACCTTGCTCTCTACCTTACTTTTACTGACGTAGTGGTTCACACCTTTCCCTGACTAATGGGTCCCTTCTTTGAGCATCACCCCAGGAAGGCGGGGGGCCAGGGATACTGGGCTTATTTAATCAGCCATGCTCCAAAGGTGAGGGCGGGGGGCCAGGGATACTGGGCTTATTTAATCAGCCATGCTCCAAAGGTGAGGACGTCAGAGAAGTGGGGCAAGGCCAGACAGGGTGATAGGGAGCCAAGGAGGACGGCTGGGGAGGCAAGGTCAGAGTCACAGCAGCTTAGGAAGTCTAAGCAGTGGGAAGAGAAGTGGATGGCAGCAGGATCCTCTCCTCCTTAGAGAGAAACAGGAACAGGAAAGACACTCCCTTCCTCTGTTGCCAGCCTGGGGTGAGGTGTGGAGGGGGCAGCCACCATAAAGCTCATTGTTGCCACTAAATGAGAAACAATCTTTGTATCTACCAAAGGGCCGAGCACAGGGTCTCATCCCTAGCAGAAGCTCCATAACTATTTGGTTCAGTTTCCTCAGGGAACCCTAGCAGTTTCAAGAGAGAAGGAAGTAGGGAAGGGAATCCATACTTACGGAGGGCCTAGTCCATACATACATTATCTCACCAACTTCTCATAAAAACCCTACAAGGAATAGATTGTTATCCCCATTTTGCAGATGAGGAAACTGAGAGCCTCAGAGAAGATAATTAACTCAGCCAGAGTTATATGGCTAGTTGTCCTTTCCACTGGGTTCTAACCCAGGTTCCACTGCTAATTATCCCTGTTACCCTGGGCAAGTCAATGCAATTCAACAGGACTTTATTATTAAGCACTGAAATGATAAGCAGTGTGGGAAATGAAAAGGTTGTATCCCATCCAGTACAGGGCACAGGCCTAGACAAGAGTATTTGTAATAAAGGGAACACTGTGCAAAGTGCTACAAAGTCCCTTTGCTTTTCATGCAGGCCTAAGATTGCTCATCTGAAAAGTAAATGGGATGAATTAGTGCAGGGGTTGGCAGACCTTCACTGTAAAGGGCCGGATACCAAATATTATAGACTTTATAGGTGACATAGTCTTTCACAACTACTCAACTCTGTTGTGTGTGAAAGCAGCCACCGACAGTATATAAATGAATAGGAATGGCCACGTGGTGTTTTACTAAGAGCAACAAACTCACAGGTTTCTCCTACCTGAAGAACTTGGAGACCTGAGATCAGCAGAGAACTATTCATTCCTTTTTGAATATGCACCAAATTGATATCTGTGGCGTTTCTAAGCTGGAGGACCTTACATTTTACTTTTTATTTAATAATCTAGAACTAATAATCTAGAACCAAGATATAAGTTTTTGGGGAATAATTCTAATCAGAATTTAATTAAGAGTATTTTCAGAAAAAAACCGAACACAATGTAGCTTCAGACATAGACACATAGCAGCTATTTTAGGGTCTCTCTTTTGACACTGGCTGAAAAAAAATCAAATCCTAAAATATTGTAGACAACATTGTCAAACTGACATGTATTGTTTTGAGGAATTACCTCAATAAGGAAATGGTAAATGTCTATCAACACTATCTAATTTAGCTTGCTCTGAAACTTTATACCTGATTTTGAAGCTCTCAATGTATTTGTTCTGGCCAAAAATGACAAGTATCAGACCTGCCTTGCCTGTGCATACTCAAAGCCAGCAAACAGCAAAACTGAGGCGCTAGCCTGGCCAGAAAGTCTTATCCGTATTTGAAGGACAATGGGCCCTTCTTTAGAGAGAGTGATGAGTTTAGCCAGGAAGGACCAGACATTTGCATGATTGATTGGGAAGAAGACCCGCGGGACACCAGTGGTGAGAAGGGATGGAAGGCAGGGAATGAGTCTGGTCTGGGGTCCCTGGAAAACTCCATACCCACATTCTGACCCCCAAATACTTCAGAATGTGAAACTCTGCCACTCTTTCCTAAATGTATCAGGAGCTATTTTCTTCCTGGCAGGATTGTTTATTCAACCAACAGGACCCCCAGGCAGACAAACCTGAGGCCTCTTTAGGTTTTCTTGTCAAGGTGACATTTACCCCAAGGGCTTCCATTGGTGGCCTGTACTGCAGGCTGCCTGCTGTGGAGATGGTGGGCGTGGGCAACTACAGTGGGCGTGGGCAACTACGCAGCCACCAGGGCCTCTCCTGCCTCTGCGGGCCCTGCCCATACTAGGCTGCAGGGAATCACTGTGCTCTCAAAGAACCCATCTAGCCTGGGCTGAGCAGTTCCCTCCTTTAACTCTTTGAGTAGTAAGTAGTCAGCTTCCTCCAGTTGTTAGGAAAAGATGGTAAAAATAGAATTCACAATTTTAAGCGTCCTTTTCTCATAAAAATTTCTTAAGCTTTCAATGTTTCCCGATTAGTGGGTGCTAGCAGATGACAAAGTGAATGCTTAAGAAACAAATATTAACAGAAACTCAAACTTGATCATGCCTGGGCCAATATCTTGTTGTTTTTTGGTTGTGTGTATGCTTGCTATTGAGATTTTACATGCATTTATGCAACATAGTATATTTTCTTATAGTATACATGATGGGAT